GAGTCCTTGGCACACGGATCCCGAGCCCACCCCGTTCAAGTCTGTCTGTCTGTCTGTCTTTCCTTCCAGCCTTTCCTTCCTCCTCGGCTCGAGCGCCCTCCCCGCTGGCGGGCAGGCAGGCAGGCAGGCAGGTTAGCTGTATGGCAGAAGTGCAGGGATTCACAGAGCAGAATAGTTTCAAGTTCCCCAGAGTGGTCTCCACCCCTTTTCTTATTAACTGGCACTTACAGTCTTAATACCTCCTTCTCAGACATCAGTTGAAGAAAGAATAACGTATTAGACGCGTCCCCCAGAATTATTATTATTATTTCTCTCTCGCTTTTCTAAAGCATGTAATGGGTCGGGATGCGACCCGCTCCCCTGGGGAGGAGGGCGCCGGGCAAGAAACCTTAGCATCCTTGGGAATCGCTGGAAGCGTTGCCATCGGAGGCTGGCAAACAAACCAGCCCGCAAGGAGGGAAAGACTGAAGGGAGGAGGAGGGGGGGCAGTGGCTTCAAACGAGGAAAAGGGACGGGGCGGGGAGACCTGATCTGTCAAAATCCTAATAAAAATATAGCAACAAACATGGAAACAAAACAATAGCCCAGACTGGAAATGTTCAATATACATTCCAACCCCCAAGAAACGAGATGTGAAGCACTTTAGTAACTGCCGAATGACTTGGAATGACTTTTAGTGAAAGTTGAAGAAGAAAGTGCCAAAGCAGGACTGCAGTGGAAAGTTAAGACAACAGAGATTCAAAATCTTTGTATTACAAAACAAGAAGGATTGGAATCTACCATCTGTGTGAAAAGGGGGTAGTCCCTTCACTGCAATCCCATAATATCCATTCAGAAGTGACCCACAAATCTCAGTAAGCTTCACTCCGAGGTATGACCTCCAAGGTATAAAAGTATAGGACTGCAGCCTTAGTGGGGAAAACTTTTTCTCAATGGCCCCCATTCTTCCTCTCTGTCCAGCCATTACTCCTATCAGCAGTTCTTGGAACAAATGACACGTCATTATATGCTTTCCATACAGACCAAAGCCACTGACATCAATAGCAGCTTTGCCATTGATTTCGGGAGAAGCTGGACTATGCCAGATTGTTTACATTTGGAAGGGGAGGAAAATCCATCAAGCATTTTGCCTTTCTAACAACAAAACAAATCTGCTGTCTCTTGGGCTTTCCCATAATTTTAAACAGCAATATTCTCCCGTCATGTTTGCAATGACAACTTAATTGTCTTCAGAAAGTGACCCAAGGGGTCTGTTTAAAAGGAACCTCCCGGGAAATGAGAAGCCCTGCGCCGCGTCGCGTTGAATCCCGGGAGAGGCGCTCCGAAAGCAAGCCGGCCGGTCAGAGCAGAGCGCGGCCGGTCGAATGAAGGCCGCAGGGCCGGCCGAGCGCGCGCGCGGGTCCCTGCAAGCAGCCAGACGGGTGCCCGGGAAAGGGAAGAGAAAGGCGAGGGAAACCTGGCGGCACCTGAAAGACGAACCGCCAAAGCTTCGTCAGGCAAAGTCCGAAGCAGGAAAACAAAGCGAATAGGACGAAACGACGTGGGGCACCCGAAGCACGAACTATTCCATGTTATTGGAAGCTTTTGTGGACGAACCCGCTTCGTCACACATACAAAATGAAAACGAAACACTGGACGGAATACCAACCACACGAGTAAAACAGGCTAAGCGCGGCATTCCTCAGCTGGGAGAGTCTTGAGCATTTGCTTACATCTCCCGTGCCGTCATTTATGGCCTGCCTTTGGGGTTCCCTTGGGAACTTTTACTTTACTTACTTTACTTTTATTGGACTTTTACCCTTCCCCCCCCCCTGGACAAAGTCTACTGGGGCGGCTTACATGAGTGATAAAAACACACTTATTGGACTTTTACCCTTTCCCCCTTGGACAAAGTCTACTGGGGCGGCTTACGTGAGTGATAAAAACACAACAATATAACATATAACATAACATACGTGATAAAATCCTACAAAACTTATTTCTATATATGTACATTGCTAAGATGGAGTGATCAAAGAAACAGAAAATGAGTTAATTGACTGAAGGGAAGGCCTGCCTAAAGAGCCAGGTTTTTAAATGGTGTTTGAAAAAGCCCAGTGAGGGAGCCAGACGGATTTCCAAGGGGCCACTGCCGAGAAGGCCTGGTTTTTTGTTCTTTCCTTTTGGGCCTCTCTCGGCGTCAGGCCCCTCAGCCGCCCCTGCTGGCTTTGTTGAGTCATTTGGGCAGACCTGGGTGGGAGAAGGCGTTCCGCCAGGTCTCGAGGTCCCAAACCATTTAGGGCTTTGTACGTCATCATTAGCACTTAGAAATCAATGCGGAAACGGATGGGCGACCAGTGCAAAGCAGCCAGGGTGGGGGAGATATGCTGATATTTCCTCACCCCACTAAGGAGCCTGGCTGCCGCATTTTGCACCACTTGAAGTTTCCGCATCAATCTCAAAGGCAGCCCCACGTAGAGTGCGTTACAACGGTCTAGTCTCAAGATTAGGAGTGCGTGGACAATAGTAGTGAGCCCCCCCCATCAAGATATGGTCGCAGCTGGGCAATCTGCCATAGATGAAAATAGGTGGAACGGGCCTCGGACCCCACCTGGGTTTCCATGGTAAGCGCCGGGTCCAGATGTACCCCCAAGCTGCGGACCTCACTCTTTGCGGCAAGGGTCGTCCCCCCAAAAGAAAGGGAGTTACCTATACCGCTGACGGAAGGACCACCCACTCTCAAGACCTCCTTCTTGTCTGGGTTCAGCCTCAACTCATTCAACTGCATCCATTTTAGTACAGTCTCCAGGCAACGCTGAAGGGACAGAACGGCATCCACTGAAGTAGGTGAAAAGGAGATGTAGAGCTGCGTGTCATCAGCATACTGATGGCACGACGCCCAACACCCCCAATGACCCCACCCAGCGGCCTCATGTAGATGTTAAATAGCATTGGGGAGATAATCGACCCTTGCAGGACCCCACAGTTGAGACTCCAAGGGGCCGAAACACTCTCGCCAAGCTGTACTCTCTGGGGTCAGTCCTCTAAGAAGGATCAGAGCCAGGCAAATGCCCGGCCGCCTATACCCAACTCGGAGAGCCTCCCCAGGAGGATACTGTAGTCGACGGTATGGAAGGCGACTGAGATGTCAAGGAGGACCAACAAGGACGTATTGCCCCCATCGGCCTCCCTCAACAGGTCATCCAACAGTGCGACCAGGGCCATATCCGTACCATAGCGCGGCCTGAAGCCCGACTGAAATGGGTCCAGAGCATTGGTTTCGTCCAAAAGCGTCTGAAGCTGGTCTGCCACCACCCTCTTCACCACTTTGCTAAGGAAGGAAACATTGGCGACGGGCCTATAATTTCCAATGTCATCCGCTGCCAAATTTGGTTTCTGCCAAATTTGGACATTCCTCCAGCAATGCTGTCTCTTCACTACTTAGTCTTCAAAGAGCCACAACCCCCCTTTTGCCTTCTTTATGTTTTCTTCTGCATTAGCTTGACAGGCTAGAGCAGACTAACTTGGCTTTTGTTGTTTAGTCGTTAAGTCGTGTCCGACTCTTCATGACCCCATGGACCAGAGCACGCCAGGCCCTCCTGTCTTCCACTGCCTCCTGGAGTTGGATTCATGTTGGTCCCTTCGCAGACACTGTCCAGCCATCTCATCCTCTGTCGTCCCCTTCTCCTCTTGCCTTCACACTTTCCCAACATCAAGGCCTTTTCCAGGGAGTCTTCTCTTCTCATGAGATGGCCAAAGGACTGGAGCCTCTTGGCTACCTCCTTCTATAAAGTACAGTAAACCGAAGGCAATACAACGGATAATCGTCTTCTTTTACAAGAAAAAAGTTGGGCTGCCATGGCTGATGGATGGAATTTCTCAGAACCACAAGCCTCACCAGGAGACCAAGGATGGAGAGCCCTCACTGGCCTCTTCCTTAACGTGCTGGCTTGAATTATTACATTGGAAAAAGGTGTATGACCCCGACATGTAGGTGCCCCTGAACACATGCATGCCGGGACCTTCCAAGTTGAATCGGTAGGCACTAGGAAAAGGAAGAACCGTGGGATCGGAAGAATCAAGAAGGCAAAAGCATCATTTAAAAAAAGAAGTTGCCTTGTTCAGAACAAACAGAAGTATCCTAAGAGAAAAACACAAAAAAAAAAAAGAAGAAGTTGCCTTGTTCAGAACACACAGAAGTATCCTAAGAGAAAAACACAAAACTCACCCATATTATGGCACATTGCAGCTTCTCTTTCAGACCAAATGTAGGCTTTTAGATGCAGAATTGTTTTAACAGTTGAAGGGGTGGTGTGGTGGTGGGGGAGAATGGATTAGTTTCCTTCCATCTGTGTGTATTAATCAGGAAGGCTCAAAAGGACAAGCGCTCCTCCAGCTGTTGGCCTGAATAAAGAGCTACAACGTTGACTTTTCCCCAAAGTGAAAGATTCCTCGAACACGGATGACCAATGAGGCCCTCTTCTGCCTTTCCAGGCTGAAATGGAACTTCTCCACCCAACCACAGTCTACCTTGTCAGAACAGTAGAAACTTGTGTGTGGTTTTCTGACTTGCTGTGGATGCAAACCTGTGCAGAGAGCTGCAAGACCGGCCAGCGTGTCCCATGCCTTTGAAACCCTCGACTGTGCCTGCTGCTGTGAGCGGTTTCTGGAGCACGCTCAGAAGCTCCACATCCCCATAAGGGAACCCCTCCCTCTTTGAAATCCTTTGAACCCTGGACCATCCAGATGCTTCCTTAGGAACTGATAGGATTGCCATCCTTTGCTCTCACACAGGCAACCAATGCTCTGTGTCAAAGAGTAGCTGTAAGCTAATCACAAGGCATGCAGTTATCTTGCATGACTCTATCTTCTGGGTTAGCTGTAATATAATTAGTACTGTAGTTGCAGTTACTTTTTAAGGTGCATGGACAATACCCAAGTCACTTTTCAAAGTTACTTTTCATTTTAAGGCATATTTAGAAGCATTTGGTCTGAGCCTGCCCACGTTTACACCACTCTCTTCCTGATCCTAAGTAAAAAGGCATGCATCTTCTGCTGGAGATCTTTGTTTGGGATTTCATAAATATCTGCAATCCGCCACCCCAGGAAACCAGAAGGCCCTGCTTATTTTTCATGCCTGGTGGCAACTGCAACACAATGTGTCACATAAAAAACGACAAGCGCAACGGCAGCACCCTGACCACCACCACCAGGCACCAGCTGATGGGGGAAACTAGGCTCCAAGGCTTATGGAAGGCCAAGCTGCAAATTCTGCCCCACACAGAGAGGGCCCCATGTCCTGAACAGCCTGGGGCAGGCGAGGGGGGCCGGGGGGCGTGGTCAACACTGTCACTCTGGTTTCAAACAGCCCCAGTCCTGAAGAATGGTCACCCAATTAATCCCACAGCCCTTTTGCAACAGGGTTGGGATGGGGGCTGTAAACACAGGTAGACAAAGGCCTGTGGTCCTGAGAGCCCACAAGGCCGGGGGGGGGGGGGGGGAACCCTCCCTCATGCTCCATGCATTGGTGCCTACACTGGAGGAAACCGAGGCTGAGCCATGCCTCCTAAGCGGGAAGGGGGACAGGCGAGAGGGGACTTGGTCTGTGGATGTCCTCTGAGAAGCCTCTCCAGCCAAACTGAACCTTTTAATAAGTGAAGGAGGGGGGGAAAGAGAGAGACACACACAACCAAGAAAAAGCTATAAACATTTTATTTTTCTTAGAAAGTATTTCCAGAGAAACAGACAAGAAAATAATCTGAATCATTTATTTATAGTTTTAATAAAAACCTTTACATAATATTCATGCGTAACCACTTTGCTGGCAGACCCCTCCCCTCCCCAAAATACACACACACACATACACACACGCACACACAGAGACACACATCAGCTCCAGAGGTAAACGCCCTGTACTAGCAATGGGTCCAACCCCAGCAGAAGCGCTGCGGCTCCGACGCCAGACCTCGCCCCACCCGCCAAGAACCCGGTGGCGTTTGTGCAAACGGGGGCACTGGCCGAGCCAGAGAGCCTCAGCTCCGAAGCCCCTTCCTGCAACACGAAAGGGCAAAAAGGCCCAGCATCAGGCTAACAGTTCTACTGCCCGAGGGTTGGTTTGAGAGGGAGGCCCACTCAGGAGAGACCACAGAGCCTCAGGACCCACGGAACCCCAAAAGATCTGCCTCGAACGGCTACTGGCAGAACGAGCCACAGAAGCCGGGTCGCAACCCACCTGCCAGGCCTTAATAAGGCAGAGTTCCCCATGCCCCCCCCCACCCAGGGCCTAATGCCTGGCCCCTCTCCTTGAGGAGCCCCACTGGGGACCTGGCCTTGGGGCCAAAGCGTGATTGTTGCACTGAGGTGTGCCCTGGCGCATGCATGCGCACACACCCACCCACCCTCAGGAAGGCTGCCCTCCCTCACTCCCTCCCTCCCAAAGGCCAGGGGGCACAACTCAGGTCTGACTAGGCTCCTAAGCCACCCCAGCGTTAACAGCCCTTTTCCGTCTCAGTGCTGCAGGACACACGGAAGCCTCTCCCACTCCCTTCACAAACCGACTGGCCAACATCCAGCGCCAGTGGTGACTTCACGGTGCACGCCCTGATTCTGTTGCCCTCTGCTTGAGCACTGAAAGGTGTTCTGCTGCCTGGCTTCCGACATGCTGGAGGCGACCACCACGGCTGGTTTCTGCGGATGCAGGCTTTATTAAAACTAGAAAGCACAGTGACTGGGGTGTTCCCCCGTGCCAGATGGGGGGGGTGTCTCTATGCTCTGCCTGGCGGTGACAAAGCCAGTTGGGAGGAGCTATGCAGCATCTGGGGGCAGGAAAGAGTTTGGAACTGTTTGGGGGTGGGGGCGGGGGGGGGCTGCTGCTGCAGCAAAGGGGGAACCTGCACCCCCAAGACCAGAGGCGGAAGGGCCACCGATGGTTCCGAGGGCCGGTCCACCCAGGTTCCCAGGCAGGGCAAGCCGGCCTCACTGCGCCACAACGGTCAATTCGCGCAAGTAGGACTCCGTGAGGCCCCGAAGCTCCTCTAGCGCGTAGTCCTCGGGCATGGGAAGGTGGCCAATGTGGGGGGCAAGCAGGCGCAAAGGGACCCTCCGCACATCAGGGGTGGGGCCGGAGGCAGAGTCCGAAGGGTGCTGCAGGCTCAGGACCACCCGCAGGATGTCTGCGTTGCGCTTGGCCATTTCTGGGAGGAAGAAAGAGGCACGGAAACCCACCATCAGCAACATGACTGGGCGCTGACCGTTCTCAAGGTCTGCCTTCTCAAGGTCTACGGGCAGGGGAGCAGCAGCCTCTCCTAAGAACAGGAACTTTACCCGTTGGAGCTGGGGAACTGCTAACTCTACAGGCATCTTTTCTGCCACCACCCTGCCATTCATTTCCCTTTTTTATTTTGTGGTTCCTGTAGTTATGTCTATTACTGTTTTTAATCATAATTATTTATGACTGTGTTGTCCTTCCGTTAGCTGCCCAGAGTAGCAGCCAAGCGGGATAGAAATGTGAATAAACAAACAAACAAACTGCCCAGAATATTTACTCTTATAATCTATTCTCAACAAGCCCATAGGACTTCCACAGCTATACACCACCATGGGAAATGGTCCTGCACTTACCGGGCACACAAACAGGGTGGCTGAGAATGGGCTGCTTTTCCTCATGATCATTGCATGAGCAAATTGGTTTGGGTTTGGTGTTTTGAGCCCAGAGAAGTAAAAAAACCCCGCGTCCGCTCTCCTACCTGACTGAGCCAGCCTGTCCTTGGCGCTGTGGCAGGGGAGCAGCTCTATCCGGTTGCAGAGGGAGATCACTCTGGTGTGCAATTCCTCCAACTCATAGCCAGAACAATCCAGCTGTGGGGGGAGGGGGAGGGAGAGAGGGAAACCCCAAAAGGGATGAAACACCCATCACCTACTGAGGACAGAGAGTTGCCCCAAGGGGGTAGGGCTGGAAAAAAACTCAGGGACCAAAATCCTCTTAGGGTTGTCACGAGCAGAGGAGGAAGACCTCAGACCGGCAACACGCAAGCGTACATCACCAAGAGGATTCTGGCCAGAGAGCTTTGGGTTCTTTCCCCAATGTAAAAATAAAGGTACAAGTTTGTAAAAAAAAGAGCACCATGGCCTTCAAGCGGAAACGTTTCTGTGCTGGGAGCTGAGTGGGATTCTGGGTGCCGGCCACCTCAGTCTCCCTAGGAGCCCAGGCACATCTGGCGGGAAACAATTCCTCACACGCCACCTTACAAGGTTCTTGACGCCACTTACACCATTGTGATTCAGCCTATATTTCTTTCATGCTGTGTTTATGGCCGTGACCACCAAAAGAAGAAAGAAAGAAAAGCTTGGAAATGGCTGTCTTTTAGATAAAGGTGCAACTGGAGGCGTTTGCTCCAGAAGTGGATGAGGGGGGTGCTCGTCTTCTCCAGGGGTCTTTTAAAAGCCTGTCCCCGGGAACTCCTTAGGCCTCCGTAAGGAGAAACTTCCCCCAGTGCCGCTCCAGCAGCCAGGCTGAACCAGCATGCCTTGCTTCTCTGCTCCTGAGCTGCGCTCAAGGTCACCTGTCGCCCGCTCTCCCCTCCCTGCCATCGGTGCACTCAGGATGAACACACCTTCCTCGCCTGGCACTCGTCACAAAGCTTTCTACGCCTGCCTGTGGAGGGCAGGAACCCAAGCTGTTCCCTGTCCTCTTGATGGTGGAGGAGACCCGATGGGTCACGTCGTGCAAAGAGCAGAAGAGACAGAGGGACCGTCCTACCTGCTGAATCCTGTTGAGCATCTCAATGATGCAGATGTAGTCCAAGAAAACCAGGCCGGCCGTCTCCCAGTCCTGGATGAGGATGCTGCGTTCAGGGGCTGAGAGGTCTTCTAAGAATCCTTTCAGGTAGGTGTAGTTTTCATTAATAATGGCACCTGAGAGGGAAAAGCAGGAGTAAGAGAGCCAGAAGTGACAAACTGGAACAAGTTCAGAGGAGGGCAACATGGAGGATCAGGGGGCTGGAAACCAAGCCCTGTGAGTAGGAAAGACTGAAAGAAGAATTGGGCATGTCGAGAAAAGAAGACTGGGGAGAGCGAGGAGAGTCCTTTTCAAAGACTTGAAAGGCAGTCATCCAGAAGAGGGCCAGGATCGCTTCTCGATCCTCCCACAGCGCAGGACACGCAACCATGGGCTCCAGTTAAAGGAAGCCAGATTTAGGCTGAGTATCGGGGGAAAAGCTTCCTAACTGTTAGAGCACCATGACCCTGGAACTAGTGACCGCGGGAGGTGGTGGTGAGCCCTCTAACCCTGGAGACCTTCAAGAGAAATTTAGACAACCACCTGGCAGACCTGCTTTGATCTGTATCCCTTTGTTCAGCAGGCGGTTGGACTGGAGGGCCTTAAGAGGCCCCTTCTAACCTCACAATTCTCTGATATTTTATATTATATGTAAACCGCCCAGAGTAGACACGTTCTAGATGGGCGGTATATAAATCAAATAAATGATTCAACATGGCCCCTGGTAGGAAGCCTAGTCACACAGAAGGGAGCCAATATCACAACACGGGCCTGACTTTTAAATATATAAATAAAATAAATAAATGATTCAACATGGCCCCTGGTAGGAAGCCTAGTCACACAGAAGGGAGCCAATATCACAACACGGGCCTGACTTTTAAAACCACACAAGTTCCAATGTACGGAATAACTAAAGCTTCCAAATTTAACTGTAACCACAAAAATGAAGAGAGACACCCACCCGCCAGGAAAGGGTAGCACTGGCCTGAAGCAGGCCCCCAAGAAGACCTGGCCTTGCGGAAACACCCCCCCAACACACACCATTTTCCTTGAGGAGACGCAGGTAAGCCCTCACCTGCATGGAATAACTAAAGCTTCAAAATTTAACTGTAACCACAAAAATGTGGAAACACCCCCCCCAACACACACCGTTTCCCCTGAGGAGACGCAGGTAAGCCCTCACCTGCAGCCAGGTGCCTGATCACCAGCTGGTGGCATTGGTTCCAGTGCCCTGCCTTGAACAAGTGCAGGGCCTCCTGGTGCTTGTCGCCCTCCATCCGGGCCCTCACAGCCTTGGCTTCGTGAATCCACTCGGGCGGGAGGCACAGCTTCTCCGTGAGGAAGGCTTCCTTCTCCCAGGACTCGGGCGTCTCCAGAAGCCGGCAGTGGCGGTTCAGCAGCTCACGCACAGCCCTCTCGCGCATGCTGGCGGGAAGAGCAGATTCAAAGCTTTCATCAGATCCCTTTTGGATTGTGGCTGGCTTAGCAGATCTCTGAACTACCCAGCTGGAAGGGGCCCTCTGGATCAATGAGGTCCAGTGGGGAATCAAACTCACAATCTCTGACTTGGCAGCCGGAGACCAAAGCACTGTGCAAGGAATATTAAGGTTGCCACTGAACGTGTTGCATGTTTGCACGTTACTGATTTTATGGGAATGCATTCTGGTGTAGAGTGCAAAATTTCCTCGCTCCTGTCATATGCGTGGTTTTATGGACTGGCCCATTGACAGCTAGCCAGTCCTCACATGGCAGATGCGCAGCGCATCCCTGGGGTGAGAAAGCCATCTTGGGGTCCAGCTCAAGGATCTGAGGCAGCACGACTGCAAAAGGCACGCTCCCCCTTCGCCCAAGGGCCCGAAGAGCTGGCTACTGCTGGTCATTGCTTGGCGGCTTAGGTCCGGCTTAGCAGAAGGCAGCCCACCCCCCGGTATTCTCTCAGCCCAATTTCCTCCTGCAAGTTCAGGCCCCCTCAACCAGGCCTCTCACCATGTGGCCGGTTTCCATAAATCCGTGATCTGCCCACTGGGGGCCCAGCTGCAGAAGCCGGTTGTCTAAGGCCGAAGGCTCGTCCCTGCCGAAGGGGGCACCCCGGAGCCCTTTAAGGAACCACTTTAGTCCCAAGGAGAGGTCCCCACCTCCCGAGGACTCCCTTCCTCCTTCCCGAGGCTGCTGCCATCTGTGGGGAGGAGCGCTGGCTAGGAAGAGACATTTTATCTACAACACCACCCGGTCTAGACAAGAAAGACGGCTGGCGGGAGAGGACTCCCCACTTACTGTGCACTGGGGGTGTGAAGCAACACAAAAACGGCCCACTCCCACAGCCCCTCGCTCTCCAACTGGGCGGCGTAGTTGGCGTTGAGCGCTCCCTGGCACTGCTCTGAGAGGTGGGTGTAATTCAAGGCCCGCAGCGCCTCCCACAGGTGCCAACTGAGACGATAGTCCAGGGGGTCAGCGGTTATACTTTTTGGGTCGAGCAGCTGATGTAGATCGTAGCACCTGTGTGTGGAAGGGCAAGTCACAACACCACGTGAGTCCACTTGCTGCATTCAAGGCCACGGCTTCAGTTATCGCCTGTTAAATCTAGTTGGACCCGAATCAGGAACGGTGCTTTGCAAGTGGAGAGGACAAAGCATGGTCAGTGGGGAGGGGGGCATATATGGAACCCCATCTAAGCACACACACTCTCTCTTGCCCCCCCACCCTCCCAATGTAAGACCGGGGAGGAGGAGGAAGGCATTACCTCTCGCTGTACAGTTTTAAGAGGTGAAAGCAGGTGTCGCGGAGAAGGTGCTGGGAATGGTCTTCCTCGATCACACAGCCGGAGCCTTCAAGGTACGGAGGCAACGGAGAACAGGCGTACGCTTCGTTCTCTGACGAGTCCTGGGAAGCACAAGGGCAGGGGGCAAAACGTATCACTGAGCAGCAGCTGCAGCTGACGGGGCAAGAGGACCCTTGGGGGAGGGGCTCTGGGCAGGCTGACCTGCGGGGCTCTTCTGCCGCAGTGTAATCATCAGATGTCCCATAATAAGAAAATGTAACATGAAAACATGTCTAAACATGTTTTTTTTTAATTGGAAAAATGGAAATTTTCAGAAATTTTATATCTCTATGGGGAAACAGGAGAAACCTGAACTCAATGATAGGCCTAAGCAGCCAAAACATTCAGCAACAGAGGCCCCTTGGCACGTCCTGGGGTGTGTGCGTGCGTCTCTCTCTCTCTTTCTCTGTGCTTTCACAAGTGGTGCTTGATCCCTCTTCTAACTCCAGTGTTATTAACATGACACAAAATCATGCCAGGCGGAGCGATGTTGCAGTGAGGCCTTCAGACCAGGATCTGGGCTTTACCAAATAAAGTCTAGAAATCGGAACTGACTTAATGGCCCCTAAAGTTACATTGCTCTGTATCTGCATCGTACACATGGAATCCAGAATCATGGAGTTTGGAGGGGCCCCGAAGGTCATTGAGTCCGATGCTCAAGGCAGGAATCCCAAGTCACAGCAGATCGGACAGACGGTGGCCCACTTTTCTCTGGAACACCACATGCAAGACACACCCGGAGATACCCAGCCACTGCTGGTTAAGACGCGTCATCACGTAATGAGGAAGGATGACAGGATTTGAGAGCAAGAGTCTCTCACCACCCACGCAACGGCAGGCTTCACCAGTGTGTGTGGGGCACAGCGAAGGCAACACGGCCCAAACAGAGCACAGGAGAGCATTCTGCCTGGCACACACAGACCCCCAGCCCTGTTGAGCAGGCTGGCCTTTGGACCTGGTCAAGCTGCCTACCTGAAAAGCGCCTTCGTACATGCTGAGGGCCTTGGAAAGCGGTGCCGTCGAAGGCAGGAGGTACCAGAGATGGACGCCGAGCGAACGCTTCCAGTCCAGCTGAGAGCAGACGTTGACGCTCCTCCACTCCGACAAATGCCACACCTGCAGCGGAGAAGGGCATAGGTGAGGCCAGCGCTGGTACAGAAGCTGCGGCGGGCAGCTGGCAACTGCACCAGGGGGCTTCGGCTTATCCACCTCTTGGGTGGGTAAGCTGTGTCTCTGGGCACCCTTTCGCACTTTACAATGGCCTTGTGACGACTTACCGGTTTGCCAGCGAGGAGGGCAAATATACGCAGCCTGTCCTCCTGGATGAAGCCATCGGCCTGGAGCTGATGCCAGTCCGCCAGCTGCATGGCCATGAGATCTCGGACCTCCTGGCTGCCGACCAGCTGGGAGAGGAGCAAAGCCAGCCTGTGATCTCCTGCAACATAAGATGCAACATCAGCACAAAACCCCTGCCTGTGCCAGGGTGACATCACCCAGACATCCCCACCTTTGCCTCGGGGAGGGGGAATTCCACCCCCAGAAGGAAATTTAGAGGTGCTCTATTGCCACAGCCTTGCCAATGTTCAAACTGAACTGGGTCAGAAAGGAAGGGGACGGATTCCTGAGCTAAATAAATAAATTCCAGGGATGGGGACATTAATTTTACTTTTGCCCCCAGTTTTCTTGGAAGGTGCCGAGTATCCACCACCACCATAGGATTGAGGAGTGGCTGACGAAAGTTCTGGGAAACTAGATGTTCTTCTCTTCTTTTCTCTGCAAGTGGGCAAAGAACTTTTCTCTTCAGGCAGGCCTTTCCTTAATGACGGGTTGTCTGGGAGGGGTTTTTTCAATGAAGTGTTTTGCTCTGCGTTTTTCAGTGTGCTTTAGTACTGATTTTATTTACTGTTTTTAACATAATACTTTTTCAATTCATTTAGCTTATTTTGTGTACATACTGTTTTCAGTTTTTAAACATTGTCTTTTTAAGGATGTAAACCACCTCAGGTTCTTTTTATGGAGAACGGTGGGATAAAAATATTTTAAATTCAATAAATAAACAACGGCCAAACCAGCCATTTTTGAAGCTGATTCAGATAAACCAGATTCAAAGCCACGCTGAATGCTTCGGGAAGCGGCTGACACATCAGCGCGCAGGGAAAAGAGGTAACTGACGGGAGGGACGTTCTGCTTTGCCTTCCTACTCTTTCCCACAGAAGATGATTCAGGGCAGAGGTGGGGATCACAAAAACGTTCGGCCTGCTTGACGGCGGCCCATTCTCTGCTTTAACTGGGAGCGAAGCTCCTCTAGCCCACGGCACAGCCGAGGAGAAGAACTTGAAGTCCAGGAGTCTCAAGGGAGGCCCAAGCGAATCTTTTAAGTAGTAAAACCCACAACCGAGTCACCAGTTTGGCTCAATGCCGCTGAAATCTGTCTATACTTCCTCACTTGAACTGCATGGATCTGAACAGGTCAGGTTTGGTTAGACTGACGGATCGACTGATGTTTCTATCCCACCCAACTAGCAGCTGGGTTGCCAGTCCGAGCGGCTCTTGCAGAAGGACCACACAGTCATAAACAATCGTGATTAAAAACTGTAAAGCCACAGTGAAAACAGGGGCTCCAGACTTAGCTACAGGAACCACAAAAAGGGAAATGAGTGGCAGGAGAGAGACATAAAATGACTGAATGAGGGGCAAACGATTGCAAGGTCTGGGAAAACAGCCTGGTCTTTAGTGGCCTCGTAATACCCGGGACGGATGGGGCCAATCACACCTCTGGTGGCAGGGAGTTCCAAAGTGAAGCAGCAACCACAGGGAAAGCTTGGTTCCGAGTAACCGATTTCTGGGCTTCCCTTGAAGGGGGGGAGCACTTGGAGCCTCCCAGCATGAGAGGTGCAGGGGGGCGGGCAAACGTTTTGAGGGAGAGGCGCTAAACCAGGTAAACAAGGCCCTAAACCAGGGGTGTCCAACCTTTCACCTTCCCTGGGCCACATTAGAAGATGAAAATTTGGTTTGGGTTGCACATACATTTGGTTTGGGCCGCATGGGGGGGGCAGTCCTAGCCGTCCTCCGCAGCCCCGCTCCAAGCACGCTTACCGGCAGCTGCGATCTCAGATAGCAGAGATTGCCAGCTTCGACTCTGACGGCTTTATGGGGCCGGGAGGGGGTCCACCTATTAACGGGGACGGCGCAATGCAGTCACGTAGCCCCCCGTCCCCTCCCCTCCCACTCCTTCCTTCCTTCCCTCTCTCCTGGACATGCCCCGGCCACATTCCGGCCGCAAGCGCTGGCAATGTAACTTGAAACTTTGGAATTTCTTTTGAAATAAAAAATTGCACTGGACCGCATTACGAGTTGACCTGGGCTGCATGCGGCCCTTGGGCCGCAGGTTGGACAAGCCTGCCCTAAACTATTAAGGGCTTTACAAGTTAATATAAGCACCCAATACTTTTTCTTCAATAAAGAAGCAAATCTCCCATAGATACGGTGGTGCCCGTGGCCACCCAGATCCCAGAATTTAATGACAAAGGCGCTGAAGGGTCTCCTTGACCCCAAACACACACTTGCTGTCCTTGCCCGGGGCCTGATGCGACTGAACCCTTAACTGGTTTATGTGAACGAGTGCAGACAATACAATCTAAAGAACAAAGGTCCAGATTCAGCCTCCCTAGCCCAAGGACTGCCCACGTATGTACATACGCACTCCTGTCTGCCTGCCAGCTCAGAGGAACAGACCTGATTTATGGGCCAGCCACTGCCCACTATGTACATATGCATTCCTGTCTGCCTGCCAGCTCAGAGGAAGCGAGAGGAACAGACCTGATTTATGGGCCAGCCGGCAGGCTTCGCCAATCTGCTTCCCTGTGAGATAGCTAAAGATGGCCTCTGCAGGGCTGTTGTTCTGGCTCAGCGAGACCTCCTCCTTAATCCGCTCGGCCGCCACCTGCGAGAGCCAGCAGGAGTATGTACATATGCATTCCTGTCTGCCTGCCAGCTCAGAGGAAGCGAGAGGAACAGACCTGATTTATGGGCCAGCCGGCAGGCTTCGCCAATCTGCTTCCCTGTGAGATAGCTAAAGATGGCCTCTGCAGGGCTGTTGTTCTGGCTCAGCGAGACCTCCTCCTTAATCCGCTCGGCCGCCACCTGCGAGAGCCAGCAGGAGAAGGCCTTCCGGCACTCCAGAGCCCGGACATACTCGCTGGGCTCCTCCAAGCAGGCTTCCAGCTCCTTCAGGCGCCCCCAAAGGGCCTCGCACAAGGTCCACACCAAACACCAATCTTTCACCACTCCTGGGGAAGAGAGCGGGCAACATGGTATCAGCACAAAAAAAGAACCCCTCCCCCAAGCAGGCCTGCCCTGAACTGCCCCCATGGCTGCGGCAGGCATGCGAGGTCTCCTCTTTGGGTCTCCTCCATCTCTCGGTCCTCCCTCCTGCCTGGCAGCCCACGACGCCTGCTAGACCCTGCAGGGGCTCACCCTCCCTCCGCTGGGAGCCAGCCGGGGCTCTGGGTGATGTGGATCCACCTGTGGGAGGCCAGAGAATGGCTAGTCCTTCCTAGCCACAGGGCTTGGAGAAGAAGGGCCCCCACATCTCTTCACCTGCCACACCTGGTTTCCAGGAAGCTCCTGAGAGGCAGGGCTTGTCTTCTGCGGACGACCCTCTCCTACCTCACGCCCTCGTGCCAGGCTGTTTGCATTAACAGAACGTTCCTCCGGGTCCATGGAAAGAGGGGCACCCATTCGGGACCAGATGATCCTCCCGGCAACCTCCCCTGCACCCCCGGCTGACAGGGGCCAGAGCGGAGCACCTCATGCCAACGGGAAGACCCCTCAAGTCTGGCATTCTGCTTGATGCTCACCTCCTCCTCCTCCTTCTTCTTCGGGGTTGCCACATGTTTCCGTTGTCCATCCGGCATAGTCACGGATGGCGGCAACACCAGGGTTGGGGGTCAGGAAGGGGCAGGGCTCTTCCAGGTGGACCGTGCTGTGCTTCAGCTTGATTTCCAAGGGAATGAGGTACAGGTGTGGATCCCCATTCGCTGTCCTTCCTACCAAGCTCAGCCTCTCAACGTGAACCTTGAAGGGAGACTCTGAGAGCCTGAGAGAGATAGCAAGAGGAAGACGGGCGGTAAGGCGGCCACTCCACCAACTGCTCCCTTTGTGGCTGGTGGGCTGCCAACAGGGAGGAAAAGCTGGTACCCAGAAGATGCTCCAGATACGAGAGGTGCCCCTGAAGGGAACCGCCTGGAGAGACAGGAGGGATGCTCTGAAGCTGGCAATGGCAGCTACGGGCAGCCTGGAGCCACTCAGGGAGAGCAGCCTGACTCAGGGGGCCTCAACCACCTCTCCCTCCTTCCAGGAGCTCCCAACATCCCCGTCACATCACAACTGAATGTGGCACTCAAGATGCCCAATGCAAAGATAATGGTGTATGTGTGTGTGTGAGAGAGAGAGGTGCCAAGCTGAGCAGGGAAGAGGCTTCCTATCGCCCCACAGCAGAAAGTGATGAGACGTTAACCCCGGCTGTACTCAGACGTCAAAAAGGAAGTCACCCACTTCCTCTCGACAGGCACCCAAGGGTGTGAGCAGCAGCTCTTCCCAGAAGTGGATCTCAGAAGGAGCACAACTCACTGCTTCGGGGCGACGACAGGGGTGGGCAAGAAGCCGTACTCCATGGATTCATCCTGGAGCTCTTCGGGCTCACGCAGGGTGCTCAGCTGCTCTCCACTGTGGACCAGGACCCAGCCGGGGCCCCAGCCAACCCGGAAGGAGCGTCCCATGAAGAGCGCCATGTCCTTCAGCAGCCTTCCTTTCCCGTAGGCGACAGACTTCTCCAGAGGCACCAGCCCAGGGCGCCGGCGTACGCCCACCGTTTTCAGGGGCACCTCGGGCACCGCGCTGGGCACGGTGAAGGCAGCGGTCAAAGGAGACAAGGCACCCCAGGGGCACGTGGGAAGGCCAGGGCCCAGCGAGGAAGTCCTTGGGCTGCGGCTGTCCTGCAGGGAAACGCTCGGCAGGAGGAGAGGCCCGGTGGAGAGCCTGGACGACAGCAACTCGCCAACTGTGGGGAAACAGGCACCAAAGGCTTGTGTCAGAGGACGCCCGCTTTGAACAAGAGAGCTGCCAAGGCGTCGTCGTACTCAAAGGGACCTGGCACCTACACCAAAGAGGACGACCACTGGCCAGCCGACAAGAGCTGCCTGCGGCGAGCCTGAGCTCCTGCCATCTCCTTCCCAGGGAGGAGGGAAGGGCCCTATGCCGGGGTTCACAACCAGGAGGCCTGCTTCACGCACACCTAAGCAGGAAGGCTCCCAAGCCCTGGGACTCTCCCGCCAGAGAAGGCTGGGCCGATTCGTGGTTGACTCTCCGCCAGCAGGACCAGTCGATAGTAATGAACAATACAGTGGTGCCTCGCTTAACGATTACCTCGTTAAACGACGAAACCGCTTGACGATGAAGTTTGTGATCGCAAAACAATGTTTTAATGGTGAAAATTCGCTTAACAATGGTCGGTTCCGCTTCGGGAAGCGATTTTTCGCTAAATGACGATTTTGAAACAGCTGATCGGTGCTCTAAAATGGCCGCCCACTGTGCAAAATGGCTCCCCACTGTGTTTTCAGGACGGATTCCTTGCTTTACAGGCACTGAAAATGGCCGCCCCTATGGAGGATCTTCACTGGACGCGGAGGGATTTAGCCCACTGGAACACACTGAACCAGTGTCAATGCATTTCAATGGGCTTTTTCGTTTTGCTTGATGAGGATTTTGCTTAACAGCGATTTCAACGGAACGAATTATCCTCGTCAAGTGAGGCACCACTGTATTAGCAACCTGCAAACCATTTGACTCATTAAAGGAAGAAATGCAATTTCGAGCCTATAGGCCTTCTGGAGGTTGAACTGACTTGATGCCGAAGGGGCTTTAGGCTGGACGGGTGCTTTATCTCATTTTATTAGTGTGTTGGAAAATTATGCCTATTTGTCTACAGTTAATGCCACTTGTTTATTCTCTATTACTATTTATTTGTAGTATGCATATGCCCCCTTTCTCCCAAAGCTGGGACTCCAGGCAGCTTCCAGGACAGCTGAAAAATAACAAAGATTCATAATCAAGAGTTCAAAGTCCTACAACAGGCCTGAGTTCATTACAACGGTAACAGGAAAGCCCTTTAAAGCATTAAAATACCATGTTTCCCTGAAAATAAGACCTACCCCCAAAAGAAGTTAAGAGAAACCCCACCCTCCACCCTTGTGCAGTAACCAGAAGATGACATGACTGTAAAATAAAACATCCCCTGAAAATAAGCCCTAATGCGTTTTCTTGAGCAAAACGTAATATAAAACTCTATCTTATTTTCAGGGAAACACAGTACCAAACAAAATTTACCTTCAAAAGCAGAGCCAACTCCTTGTGCAAAACCTTACAGGCAGAGGCCCTTCATTTGCAAAGGATCTGCCCCAATAAAAAGATGCCTGCCTGCCGGGAGAACAGCCGTGGGGGGGGGGGGGGGGGGGGAGGAGTTGGCTTCTTCTCTTGGCAGGGGGCTCCAAGAGCCTCCAGCGCCCTCTCTGAAGTCTCCACCAGATGGGCTGAGAAGCCACGAGAAGGGCCTCTCCTGCAGGTTTTAAAGCCTGGGCTGAAGGGGTCTCATACAGGAGGACAAGATCCTTCAGCTCACCCGGGCTCTGTGGGTCATAACAAGCACTTTGGGTGGCGCCCAGAACTGGACCAGCCACCAGCGAAGCGGTCCTAAAAAAGAAGTCCTAAAGTCGTGTTTCCTTGGTGTTTTGTACTGTTTAAGCGAAAGTTGTCTTCAACACATTCATAAGAGGAAGGCAAGAAGGAAAGTGAATTGAGTCAATAAGAACATAAACATGCGGTATATTTAACCAGCACGGTTTAAATGTCTTTGAACCCTTCCAGAAATTGGGGGGGGGGGGGGGGG